CAATTATAAAAAATACTGTCTTGATTATCTTTGCATGAAATTGGCCACGTATCTTCAGACACATTTTGGTAAAAAGGGTTGAACTTTTTAAAGTGACTAACACAGTATTAATGAAGTGTGCTCTCTCAATGCTAATAAAATATTACCCACCCCATTTATTTAAGGATAAGGTTTTTTTTAATTGTAAGACAGTTGTTATATTAAAATGACTCCCACACATTTTACTTCTTTAACTTGACATTATATCATAGTTTATATCATACTTTTATATCATTATATCATACTTTTCCATGTTACTACCTTTATGTCCAATCTCCCTCATTTCTTTAAACTATTGCATACAATTGATATATGAATGAGCCATCATTTATTTAACCACCATCAACTAATGGATATTTAGTGTTCCCTCCTAGTTTCTCACCAGTATAAATACTGCTACAGTTAAAATGATCTTTGTTCATTTGTGTGAATGTATGGAATTAGAATTGGTAAGTCAACGGTTTTCTGCCTTTTTAGTTTTGAGACATAGTGCCAAATTTCCCTTCACCACAAAAGTTTTGTGAATGTATGCTCACAAAAACAGTAAACGAGAGTTATTGTCCCATCTTTATCGGCAGCACCGGACCTTTTCATCTCTTACAGTACGATAGATGATATGTGGTGTTTTAATTTGTAATTTTGAGTAAGGTTAGTGAAATTTTGTATGTTTGTTAGCCTTTTGTCTTCTCTGGGATATATTATGAATATTTTCTGTCTTTAACAAGAGATGCAATTAGCAAATATTCTGCGTCAATTCGAAATTATTTACTCCAGCTGATCAAGTTTGGATCAGTTTAGGTAAAAATGTTATCCAACATTTTACTGTTACTTTTGTGTTGTGTTTGCTTTTGCTTTTTTTTTTTTTTAATGTTTATTTATTTTTGAGACAGAGAGAGACAGAGCATGAATGGGGGAGGGTCAGAGAGAGAGGGAGACACAGAATCGGAAACAGGCTCCAGGCTCCGAGCTGTCAGCACAGAGCCCGACGCGGGGCTTGAACTCACGGACCGCGAGATCATGACCTGAGCCGAAGTCGGACGCTCAACCGACTGAGCCACCCAGGCGCCCCTGCTTTTGCTTTTTTAAGTAGAGGGATTTCTCTGCCTTTTAAGATTTTTCCATAGGAAGACAAATGTTTAATTTCAAATAGGTATTGTGTTTATATTTATTATTTTTACAAATGGGTTACGTGTCATTAAATTTTAGGAAAGGCGTGCATAGAATTATAAACATAATTTTTTATCTGTGGCATAGGAATGAAAGAATTAACCTATTTCTAGTAGCTCACTTCCTGAGTTCTAAACTTGAGGTATTCACTAAGGTATTTGAGTCTAAGGAATTATTCACTCGAACTACGGTTTATGACAATGGATGTATTATTAAGTCTAATATATGTAGTACTGTGGTAATGAGTAGTTTTCCTTTTTTTTTCAATTCCAGTATAATTAACATACAGTGTGATGGTAGTTTCGGGTGCACAATATAGTGATTCAACAGTTCTATACGGTCCTCAGTGCTCAACATGCATGATAAGTGTGCTCTTAATCCCCATCCCTATTTCACCCGTCCTCCCACGCACCTCCCCCCTGGTAACTATTAGTTTGTTCTCTGTAGTTAAGAGTCTTTCTTGGTTTGTCTGTCATGTTTTTCCTTTGCTCATTTGTGGCTTAAATTCCACATAGGAGTGAAATCACACAGTATCTGTCTTCCCCTGACTTATTTTGTTGAGCATTATACGCTCTAGCCCCATCCATGCTGTTGCAAATGGCAAGATTTCATTATTTTTTATGGCTGAGTAATATTCCATTGAATATATACACCACTTCTTTGTCCATTCACCTCTCAGTGGACATTTGAGCTGCTTCCGTAATTTGGTTATTGTTGCTGCAATAAACAGAGGGGTGCATGTATTCCTTTGAATTAGTGTTTTTATATATGTGGGTAAATACCCAGTAGTGCAACTAATGGATCATAAGATAGTTCTGCTTCCAACTTTGAGGAGCTTCCATACTGGTTTCCACAGTGGCTACACCAGTTTGCATCTCTGCCAATAGCACACCAGGGTTCCTCTTTCTCCACAGCCTCACCAACACTTCTTGTGTCTTGTGTTTTTTAGTTTTAGCCATGCTGACAGGTGTGAGATGACATCTCATTGTGGCTTTGATTTGCATTTCCCTGATGATGGGTGAGATCGAGCATCTTTTCATGTTTCTGTTGGCTGGATTTCTTTGGAGAAATGTCTGCTTGTGTCTTCTGCCTGTGTGTTTTTAGATTGGGGTGTGTGTGTGTGTGTGTGTGTGTGTGTGTGTGTGTGTTGAATTATATAAGTTCTTTATATATTTTGGATACTAACCCTTTATCAGGTATGTCATTTGCAAATATCTTCTCCCATTCCTCGGGTTGTCTTTTGGTTTTGTTGATTATTTCCTTCACTGTGCAGAAAATTTTTATTTTCACATAGTCCCAATAGTTTATTTTTGCTTTTGTTTCCCTTGCTTTAGGAGACATACCTAGAAAAATGTTGCTACAACCAATGTCAGAGAAATTAGTAATGGAGTTTTCTTTTTTTTTAATTTTTAATGTTTATGCGTGAGAGACAGAGAGAGAGAAAGAGCATGAGCAGGGGATTGGCAGAGAAAGAGGGAGACACAGAATCTGAAGCAGGCTCCAGGCTCCGAGCTGTCAGCACAGAGCCTGATGCAGGGGTCGAACCTGTGAATTGTGAGATCATGACCTGAGCCAAAGTTGGATCCTTAACTAATTGAGCCACTCAGGTGCCCCATAATGGGTAGTTCTCTGAAGACCTCCTATCCATTATCTCATTTGACCCTCAGACTAACCTTGAACCTTAAAATGTTGAATGACATGCTTACACTTAAAATCACATTCTGGTTAACATGACTCTGCCTCACTCCAAATTCCTGCTTTTTCTTTTCTTTTTAATAAGTAAATCCACCAATAAGAGGTCCCCTGCCATCATCATATAATAACCTTCTGTTCTTGTTGCTATAACCAACTGAGTTTGAGAAACTCAGCTTCTCCTGTGTATTATAATTGTAACCACTTCTATTTAAGTAGTGATCTGTTCATTCATAAGTTTATTTCACATCCTTGAAATAATCATATAAGTTAGGTAAGACCAAAAATGTGGCTTTTATTTTTACCCAAGAGGAAAACCAATCTCAGGGAAATGGTTTGTTTGAAGTTGACAGTGAATTAATGAAGAGCCGGATTCAGAATGTAGGGCTTAGAGTTTCAGATGTACCCTGGTGATCTGCCACTTGCCAAATTAAATGATAGAATTTGATATATTAATAGCCCCTACATAAATAAAGTTGACATTGAAACAGAAAACAGAAGCACAGTCTTTTTCCATCTGCCTGACATTTTACATTTCTTCGTTGCAAAACAGGCCATAGGAATATCAGCCTGTACATTTATGAGATTTCATTTATAGATTCCATCTATCCGAGAATATAATGGCTGTTTGAGTTTTCCTGGGCCAAAAATCTCTAAAAAAGACCACAAAATGAAAGTGATAAGAAACACACGTGTGCACGCACATGCGCGCGCGCGCACACACACACACACACACACAGAGCCACCGCTGACTCTAAGATAGAAATATTAAGGAGGTTTGAAGTGCATGGACAGGCTCCAAGACTGACACATCTTCAGTGAGGCCAGGATCGTTTAGGACTGTTTTCTGTTTTAATTATACTAGAGAAGACGCACCTAGGTGGCTCAGTTAGTTAAGCATCTGACTGTTAATTTCAGCTCAGGTCATGATCCCAGGGTCGTGGGATCAAGCCCCGCACTGGGCTCCATGCAGAGCCTAGAGCCAGCTGAGATTCTCTCTCTCTCTCTCTCTCTCTCTCTCTCTCTCTCTCTCCCTCTGCTCCTCTGCTCATGCACTCATGCGTGCACTCTCTCTCTCTCTTTCTAAATAGATATATGCATATATATATTTATTTTTTGTATTTATATATACAATATTTATTTATAACAATATATTGTTAGTGTTAATATTCACACTTTGGTATCATATTTTATAAATTAAACGTTCACTTTTTTCAAACATATGCATTTGTTAATTAATTGTATTATTCTTATTTCTAATGGAAAATCACCTTAATTTAAATGGAAATCAGTCAGAAGTTGAAATCACTTAATAAATTTGCCTTCTGACGGGATTCGCAGGGGTCCCCGTATGTACCTCCATTCCAGATTGCCACATCTGGGAGCATTACTTAGTATATTTCACAACCTTTGTGTGGCACAGATACCTATTTCTTCCCAAGTGTGCGTCCAGAATTGTTATCGCTGAGAGGTGGTGATGTGTTGTTTGCCCGTCAGTAAGGCTTCCCTCAAAGTTGCTTTTCCTTAGGGTGGTGATGAGTTGTTAGTCTTTCAAAAATCTTTTTTGTTCAGTTCTGATCCATCTGCGAGAGTAATGCAATCAGAAGGCTCGCCCGTGACAATGAAATGGTTTTTCCCAGTGATGAGCTGTCTAGGTCTGATAAGGATCTAACGAAACCCACTAAGGGCTACCTCTTTCCCACCCTGTTTATTCTTTTTTTTTAATTTTGTTAAACATTTTTTCATTTTTGAGAGACAGGCACGGGCAGAGGAGGGGCAGAGAGAGAGGGAGAAGCAGGCTCCAGGCTCTGAGCTGTCAGCACAGAGCCCAAGGTGGGGCTAGAACCACAGACCAGGAGATCATGACCTCAGCTGAAGTCGGTCGCTTAACCGAGACCGCCCCCCCCTCCCCCCGCCCCCAGCGTCGCTCCCACTCTGTTGAAAAGAGTTGAGCCAACTGCTTTCAGTAATGAAATTATTGTGTGGCAGGCTGTGTGCTACACTGGCCTCTTAGACCCTCTCGCTTAACTTCGTCTGGGAAGAAATGTAGGTTGAACTGGTCACTAACATTGGCTGCATATATGTCTTCTCTCTTAAAACAGCTCAATGGTTATTCGGGACTTAACCTTACGCAGTGCTGCTAGCTTTGGCTCCTTCCACCTGATCCGTCTCCTCTACGACGAGTACATGTTCTACTTAGTAGAGCATCGTGTTGCTCAGGCAACAGGAGAAACACCCATTGCAGTCATGGGCGAGGTAAGAGAGGCCGCAAGAGCCGTGACTCACAGGGCTTTGAGAAAAGAAACTGAATTTCATTTTAACTTAAATATATTATTTACTGATGAAAACAATTGTTTCTGACCATGGAGGAAGATCCTGAGGGGCTGTAGAGTTATTAAAGGGGGGGGGGGGGGTCCTTCAATCCCTCTTATATTTACTTTCTTAATGAAAAGATTTCTAAAATTACAAATTATATCACGTGAAAGTTCGAGGGCTGTTTCAGTATGTTGTAAAGGTGTCTATGGAAAGGAAAAGTTTGAGAATCACTGGCCTGAACAGTGATTGAACAGAAAATAAGGGATTGAACCTCCATTGAAGAGAAAATAAGAAATATTGATGTTTCTGGTAAGGCGCAGGGCTACAAACACAGAGGGCAGAATTAAATATGTATTTTGTAGACTCTTCCTCCAAGTGCCCAGGAACAGAAGAAATGATCCAATTTCAGAAGGCTAGTAATAGTGATGGTGGTGAGGATAGCTAACATTTTGGGGATACTTACTATGTGTCAGGCACAGTTTGAGAACCTTTATAGATGACAGAGAATTGGACACTTAGCTTTTTGAGGTAGGTACCACGTTATCCTATTCTACAGTGCGTTTCTGAGGTTGATGTGGAAAGCTAAGGACACAGATGAAATGGTTATGTGGCTGATGCGTGGTGGAGACCTGTTTCAAAGACTCAGACTCTGATTTTCGAACCCCGGCTTCTAATTGCTAAAGATAGAAAGAAAAAAAAAGTAACTCCAGAATTTTTAAATTTTTTTTAACGTTTATCTATTTTTGAGACAGAGAGAGACAGAGCATGAACGGGGGAGGGTCAGAGAGAGAGGGAGACACAGAATCTGAAGCAGGCTCCAGGCTCTGAGCTGTCAGCACAGAGCCTGACGCGGGGCTCGAGCTCACGGACCATGAGATCATGACCTGAGCCGAAGTCGGATGCCCAACCGACTGAGCCACCCAGGCGCCCCATCTTCAGAATTTTTAGATAGAAAATAAAAATATCTTATTTTCAGCGAGCGTCAAAAAGCTGATACTCTGATGTAAATTTACACAAGGATTGGTTAATATGATGAGGAATAGATACAAATCCTCCAGTAATTCTGCACCAGTGTATTTTGTTGTACTGAATCGGGGGTCCTTCCGACGTTCCTAGATTATGCACCAAATTTGGCCATATTACAAATTACCCAAAGCAGTAAAGAAGACATGTGCCTTTTAAAGCTGTGTGTATGTGCTTGTTTAAATTTAAAGTCAAAATAATTATGAGACCCTTTTCCTAGCTTAAGAAATAAGATAATAAAGGTATAAATTAAAAATACATTAAAATACCTCAAGGACCTTTATAAGTGCTCTAATACAAATAAAATACATGTCAGACTTATTCAGAATGTTCTTGAAAAGATTCCTTTGTCCCTCTTTAAAATCCCTCGCTGTGCGCTGATGTGTTATGTGTTTGTAAGACGCTCAATGGTGCTTTTGCTTTAATGATGCCAACGATGTATATATGTGTGTGAGATTTAGCAAGAATCGCTGAGATAGGCGGGACCTCATGGAACCAAAACCATCTGGCCTTTTCTTAGATTTGACCTCCCCTTAGTGCCTTTTTCAGTAGTTATCTTACAGATACCTGGTTGCCAAATGCCCAGTTGGTGCGTAGATTAAGTACTGTAAGTTTTCTCAAGTCAGGGCCCAACACCTTGGAAACAGACATGCCTGTTGGTCTGTTTAACACGTCTGCCAACCACCTCGTATGTTCCGGGGACTTCTTTAAGAAGATGGTCAGGATAATGGTAACAGGGATTCTAGTTAATACCATGTGACTAATCCTGATGTGTGGTCTTTGCTTCCCTCACATCTCGAGGGAAGAAGGGCAGTGGGCAGGCGCCGGTCACACAGTGTGAAGACTGAGCAACCCCCTCACAGGCTTGTGTGGGTGTTGCTGGCTCAGCAGGGTCAAAACGGTCTTACATAGTCAATGCTGCCAATTAACCATCCCCATAGGCATTCTGTTTTCTTTTTTTTTTTTTTACTATATGTAAACAATGTAGATGAATATGACAGATTCCCCCATGAGGTAAAGATATAATATGAGTAAAGATCTAGATCAGAAAATATGGTGTAAGACACCTGTGTGAGCTCCGCAATCTAATACACACACCTCTTGATTTCTTTGCCTACTCTCTCCCTTACCCGATTTATAGGACAATCCTTTGAGCTGTCTTTACTCATCCATTATTCAGCCCAAGCCAATTAAGCGTAGTTTTCTAGGTTTGTTCTCCCCATACAACGCTGATGGACTCCTAACGTCTGTTGGCCATAATAGACCCGTAGATCATAGTCATATTAGCGTCTCTGAAATTTCTCGATTCTTGAAAGGAGGAGAAGGAAATTCAAGAAAAAGGAAAGGCTGTTTTCTCATGTGTCCCTCCCATGTTATCCCGTGCCTACACTAGAAATCAGATTGGAGGTTAAAAAATAAATAAAAAGGGGGGGGGGGCTTCTGCATGTTGAGGCTCAGTTGCATTAGCCCCTTAGGTGGTTGCCCTTTTCAAACACCAAGTCCAGAAGTGCCTGTGGGGGCAACACCTCGGGCCCAAATCCACTGAAATCCATAAAAGTCACCCTTACCCTCAATCGCAGCAATTGGTTTTCAATCATCAGTCACAACAGCAACCACAAACCCAATGATAGTTCTTACTATTTATTGAGAGCTCATTACATACTTAATGAAATCAAACTCTTGATCTGTCTACCAATGGCTCCTTCCCAGTAAATGGTACCACGATTCTTCCAGTTGATCATGCTGGACACCTGGGCATCCTCTTTTACATGTCTTTCTGTCTGGACCCCTATGTCCACCCTGTTACTAAATCTGTTCTTTCCCAAACCTCCCCTAGTACAGTCAGTATTGTCTTATGAAAGGGCCAAGGTGGTTGTGTTATCCCTACTTAAAACCCATCATTGGTATTCTCTTCTGTTAGGTATGGAACAAAACTCTTTCCTTGGTGCACGAGGTGGTACATGATCTGGCCCTGCCTCTCCGATTAACCTCAACCTCCCTCCTCCTATTCCTTTTGTTGCAATCACAGTGGTCTTTGCTCTGTTCTTATTCACCAAGCTTTTCTCATCATTGGCCCACTGTGTCAATGGTTCTTTCTACCAGGAATCTTCTGCCCAACTCCCCCTTGCTCATGCTAAGTCCTACATCATGTCTTAAATATCAGTTCCTCAGGGGAGCCCAGTTCCCCCTCCCCCCCACTACCTTAGATACCCCCGTTCTCTCTGATCTGTACATTTACTTTTCATTCTAGAACCTACACCACACTAATTGCATGGTTCTTTGTATGATGTGTGTAACCAAAGATTTAATGCCCTGGAAAAAATGAGCAACTTTGAGTCCGGAGAACTGAATTCTCCTGATGGTTCTGACATTTATAGTGGTATAATCTTGGGCAAATCTTGTTCACCGATGTTGACTCTCAGACTTACCTCTGAAATTTATTTGTTCATTTGTTTAATACATATTTTTTATATAAAAAGCAATTTTTTAATGTTTATTCTAGAGGGAGAAAGAGACAGAGCATGAGCAGGGAAGGGGCGGGGGCAGAGAGAGTGGGAGAATCCAAAGCAGGCTCCAGGCTCTGAGCTGTCAGCACAGACCCCGATGTGGGGCTCGAACCCATGAACTGTGAGATCATGACCTGAGCCAAAGTTGGATGCTTAACTGACTGAGCCGCCCAGGTGCCTCTGTTTAGCAGATATTTCTTACATACCTACTCTAGACCAAATGCTATAATGATTAGGTTATAATAATGAACAAAAGAGATTTTGACCTCGCATTCAAGAAGCTTACATTTTAGTTTTTGAATTTATATTTACTAAATATTCACATAACTGTAGAGCTACAAAATTAAAGAGAAATAGGAATGCTCGAAGCATGAGGCCTTCATCTAGCCTGGGAGGGCCAGGGAAGGCTCCCCCCCCTGCCCTCCAGAAATGATGTTTGAAGTGATATCTAAAGGGCAAAAAGAGTTCATAACTGTGTGAAGTTGGTGAGAATTGGGGGATAAGGGGTGGAGACCACCACAGGCACACAGAGACATGCACACAGGTCCTACCTGAAATGGAAGGGAGCATGGCCAAGGGGAAGCTTTCGTGGAAAATCTGAAGGTCAGACACCAGCAAGACCCAATATATACCATCAAATTCAGTCAACAAGAAGTCGAATTGGATCAGGAAAGAAACCCAAAAATTTCAAGTGATGTGCATACTACTTATGTGACGGGCCCTGTTCTAAGTGCTTTGTGGCTATTAACTTAATATCTCACAACAACCCTATAAATGAAAATTATTATACCTGTTTAAAAAGTTTTTTTAATGTTTATTTTTGAGGGGGGGGGGCAGGGGCAGAGAGAGGGGGACACAGAATCCCAAGCAGGCTCCAGGCTCTGAGCTGTCAACGCAGAGCCTGACGCGGGGCTCAAACCCACGAACCATGAGATCATGACCTGAGCCGAAGTCGGACACTTAACCGACCGAGTCACCCAGGCGCCCCTTATTATACCTGTTTTACGGATGATGACATGAGACACAGAGCCGTCAGGTAGCTCGCCTAAGGTCACCCAACCCCTAAGTGGTGAGATCAGGCTCCAAAACCAAGCAGTCTGGCCCCCAAGTTCTTGCTGTTAAACCACCATGCTCGTCACCTGCTGCACGAATGGGGGTGGGGCGAGCAAAAACGCTGCAGAATGGGGGACGGGAGCAAAAACAGTTGGGAAGTCAGCGAGAAGAAGCCTGGGAAGTAGTCACAAACTTGGCTGGACCGTCGGTTTTTGCCTTGCGCGCACATTATTTGGCGGACAGCCAGCTAGATCCAGAAGCAAGGGGGAGAGGTTGTCCTTGAAAGCAACTTAGGGACAGTTAATGTATCTTCATTAATGAGAATTCAACAGGTACATTTGAGGATTAACAATTGTT